CTTAAGCAACCTAGTACTGGTGCATTGTAGGAGTGAAGGATGAGGACATGGGCCAGACTTTCTAGGCAGTGACTAACCGTAAAACAGTTCAGATGCTCAGGCCAGAGCTGGGAGTGAGTCTGAGCAGAGAACCAAGCTGAAGTTAGACTCACTTGGAAGTAGGTGGAAGAGCCCCCCACAAACTCCCTTCCCCAAATGTGCTCAAGGGAAGTGAACCATATAAAGGCATGGGGGAAGAGGGAACAATGGGTAACTTGTGTAATAATCAATTATTTTCTAAAGTAGAGGATGTGTTTCCTTTAGGGACTCAGCCTCAAGTAACAGAAAGCATGGTTCCAAATGGAAGTACACAGTAAGGAGATTTCTTTTTCTTTCTTTTTTAAGATTTTATTTATTTATTTGAGAGAGAGAGAGAGAGAGACAGAGATAGCGAGAAGAGTGAGAAGAGAGCATGAGCGGGGAGGAGGGAGAAGCAGGCTCCTGCTGAGCAGGAAGCCCAACATGGGGCTCGATCCCAGGACCCTGGGACCAGGACCTAAGCCAAAGGCAGATGCTCAACCCACTGAGCCACCCAGGCGCCCCAAGGAGATTTCTTATTGCACCCAGCAGGAGGTCCAGAAATAGGGTGACTTCCAGGTTGGTTGATTCCAGGTTGGCTCAACCATGTCATCAAGGATGTAATTCTTTTCACTCTCCTCTGCTATCTTCAGGATTTGGGTCGTCTCTAGGGTGGTAGCAGGATAGCTGCCAGAGCTGCCTCCCAGCCTTGGAGCGTGGATTCCTGTGGAATTGACTTCTGCTGGACACAAGTGCTCTCAGTGTCAGACCTACCTACCTGTCATCACCACATGGCTGCCAATTCGTCCTTATAGCACTTCCTTCTTCCTTCATCAGGTTTTCTGGTGGGATAAGGAGAAGCAGGAGGTGGAGAGAGGTAAAAACAGCCTTTTCTAGAAGAAACAACAACAACCCCCACCCCCTGCCAGGTTTGTGCAGAAATAGTGAATTCCAGGTTTGGGAGAATAAATATATAAAGTAAGCCTGAAACATCTTTTCATACTGGAGAGCAAGAAAACCATTAAAGACTTTGGGGATTGTGTTAAAATATTTAGGAGCCAACTTGAAGGACTTTCACTGGCCAAAGATGGGACAATTTGAGAATCATAAAAAATTATAACTACAAATAGATTGAAGTACATAAGATATGATATATTAATATGCATAACTTATAATGATAAGAAACACAATTGGTTACCTTTGTGAGATGGTAGGGAATGAATCCATTATTCTAAAAATGGGTAAATAAGAGCAAAGAACTCAATCTATCACTTGTTTTTCCTGTATGACTTGCATCTCAGAGCAACCAAATATTTGTGGAGAGAAAGTGTTTCCTTATAGAAAAATTCCAGTTTTTATTAACTGGATTGAAATGGAGAATATTAGATTTAAAATATCAACATTTCAATCTTTAATGAGATAATTGATCTAAGCAATTAGCATCAATGCCTCCTAGAGCAGTCATTGAAAAGCTGATAGGGAACTTTATAATCAGTGAATCAGGCTGGCAACACCTGGACTCGTTGATCAATAGTAACATCGGGCGTTATGTACCTCCTGATGGGATGCAATAGGAAGTACACAGCACCACCTATGAAGTGTTCTTGCCAAAAAAATTGAACCTAAACATAATCAAACCTTCCAGTTTACAGGAAATATTGGGGCATAGGAATAGATATAATACATGGACATTTTTGTGGATTCTGATTTAAACAAACCAAATACTAAAAAATATATGAGGCAATAGGAGAAATTTGAACACTAACTGAATATTTGATGATATTGAGGAATTACTAACTTTTTCAAATGTGAATATGGTATTATGGTTATATTTTTTAAAGCTATATATTTTTTATTGATACATAATGAAATATTCACCTTTGAAATAATATAAAGTCTGGGATTTGTTTCACAGTAATGTAGTGTATGTGTGGGGCAAGTGAGCAGGGGTATAGGTGGACAAGTTTGGCCATGTATTGACAATTGTTGAAGCTGGGTGATGGGTATATGTAGTTGACTCTAATATTCTATTTGGCATATGTTTGATCTTTTCCATAATAAAATGTGGAAAAGAAAAGAATTAGCATTTGTCAACCACTTTTGAATCATTGCAATTCTGGCTTCTGCCCCCTCCGCATAGGCAGGGGCCTTGATGCAGAGGCTCTGGCAGAGACAAGCAATGGCTGTGTGAAGTCTGGGCAGAAGTTGCCTTGGGAATGATGATTGCATACATAGGACCATGGCTTTTCAGATCTCAGCCACAATGCTGTATTGATCTTGTTTCTGCTGATCCTCCCATTTTCTGCCCTATTCTGGGCTGGACAGGATTCAGTGGAACAAACTGGGTAAGACAAACTGTGGAGGATTTTTTCTTAGGAGTTGTGGCATTGGCTTTAATTGGCATACCTCTTATCGCTGATGCTGTGATTCTGGGAGTTACCACAGACCACAAGTCAAAGAAACTATTCTCTTCTAGTGGCTAACTTGGTGTCACGTCACTGCCAAACATAAAGTCTTGGATACTGTTAAAAGGCAAAGACTGCAACAAATGGCAGACCCTGTCACCTATAAGTTTTCACATTAAGGTTCCAAGAAAAAACTCATTCTGCGAGCATTCTGCTATTCATCTGGATATGGCCATTTTCATCAACTCTAGTAAAACTGTTAGCTCAAAGGATGGGATTTTATCAAATGTAAATTCTTCTCCATTTAATTCTTTTTATACTCAGAGTATGTTTTGGTTTGTATGTACTAGAATCTAAGATGGTATCTGATTTAATATAGAATTGTATGATTGATGTTAATTTTTATATGGCAATTTTTCAGAATATTCCAGGAAGGACACCCTGATTTTCAGGGACTTTGCTACTTGGTCAAATTTGAGAACAGAGCACTGAGGTATAATTATTTACATTTTGGTGTGAATGAAGGATCTGGTGAGTTTGATGGGATGCAGAATAGCTTTATTCTGGGTGAGAACTGAGAACAGAAAACCCTAACTCAGCCCTTGTCTAGTTTAAGAAGGTATTTCCCTGACAGCACTATTTAGGTGACATGACTTAAGTGAAGCTCCTAAACCTTAGCATCCCCAAGGCTCGGAGAGATATTTAAGTCTATCCCAAGCTCCAAGTTTCCTGGGCGATAGTGACTGAACCTGCCAGGTCATGGATGTGAGATTTATTTCTTGCTTTAAAGGGTTCAGCTAGTTGTAATGACATAAAAAATGGAAATTAACCAGGAAGCTTTCCTTTCATTCTTTCTCATCTTCATTTAAGTAGCTCAAGATCATAGCCAAGGAATGGAGGCAATTGTTGGCAAGAAAGGGGGCTTTAAGCCTGGGTGTGGACCTTGAGTAAGTCTGAGTGGAAAGGGACACATTTAATTTAATTCACATGTTTAATCTGGCAAATTGGAAGGAGGGCAGGAAGTACTTAGGCCATCAGCTAATTAACTGTGATTGTCTCAGGCCCCTCCCTTAGCTCTAGGTGGTTCGATGTTGCTAGGGGACATCAGGTTAAAACGGAGTAACTAGACCCCTGAAGGCTGTGAATCTTAATAGTAGGTGGTGTCTGTCCGTTGTGTACAACTATGCTCAGTAGAATTTGTCATTTATCACTACAAGGGTGAAAGAAAACAAGTATAAAAAAATACTTTAGATTTGTGTGATTCTTCCTGTTCTAGCTGGATCTAGTCTTTGTATTATTATCATCTCCCTAAAATCAGTTTTCTTAATATCTTACCTCTCTTATGCACCAGAATTGTGCTGTTAACCTGTCACATGTAGCTATTGAGCACTGGGTGTGTGGCCAGTCCAAACTGAGATGTGAGGATTAAATAAATATCAGATTTAGAAGACTAAGTATGGAGAGAAGGATAAAGTATCTCACCAATAGTTTTTCTTTAATGTTGATTACACAGAGAAATGAAAATTATTTGGATATGTTAGGGGAAATAAAGTATTATAAAAATTAACTTCATGTGTATACAATGTATATATTACTTTATTTTAACTTTTTTTTTTTTTTTTTACTTTTTAGTAGCCGTGAGAACACTTAAAATTACTATGTGGCTCACATTATTTCTATTGGACAGTGTTGTGCTAGAAAATACTTGTGACATGTCTATTTTCTGATATCTTGAGATCAGTGGTGTGAGATCCAGAGCTAGAGTCCTAGGCTGGAATTCTGGTTCTCCACTTTATATGTGTGGAGACGGGTTCTATTCCCCTCCAAGCCTCAATGACCTAGACTGTAAAATGGAGAGAGTAAGAGTTGCAGCTGCATTGGATGCTTATGAGATTGCCTGAGATATGCCTGGTTCAAAGGAAGTTACGAACTTTTCCTTCTGCTGATGCTCCTGCTCTGTTGCTCTACCCCTGAGCAGCGAATCCCTTCTCTTGCTGAGGATCACAGACTCTGTGGAAAGGGGGCATAGGCATCAGCCTTCCCAATCCCTCCCTTCTGCAGTGCAGGCAATCTTTTCCACCATTTACTCATTTACACTGTTCTCACTTGCACACCTGTGTGCCACTTGACCATTTGAGGAGGGGAATTACACATTCAATTTCCTTGTTTCACTCACAGTGTTCTATATATCAGAAAACACATGATAAATAATTATTTAAGTCACCAAGAAAGGGAGAAAATGACTTATCCGGGAAACACAGGTGATTGTATCAAGTTTAAGGGATGCCTTTGGAAACATTCAGAGACCCTATGACAGACATAATGTCTTTTGTTTCTCATGGCAACCTGTGGGGTTATGAGGCTGACTATGGAGTGCAACTTTAAAGTGATAAACAACAAGAATTCTCTCCCAGAGAGAAAGCCATACTTTTTTTTTTTTAATGAAGAGAATGTGTATTGTCTGAAAATCTTTGTTAAACATCATTTGTTGTTCCCAAATTATGCTTGCCTGCTTGCTTTTCTGTTTCTATTTATGTTTCTGTAAAAACATGCTCTTTCATGTCTCAAATGAGCTAAGATAGTGGTGGTAGGATGAGATGGTGTAGGCTTGTAGGCCCCTTGCAGGCCAGGGTCATTTGAGGACTGCAGTGAGGTTAAGGTCGGCCAGGCAGGCCTAGGCCAGGAGGAGAAAATGTTCTCTTCCCCTTACCTCATGTTGCAAGGCCTAAATGCCTGGATCAGCAGGAAGTGGCTCTTGCCTCGCTTAAAGTGTGTCTTTCTAATCAGAAGTGTTCTTTCTAAAGACAAAGAACATGTTGTCTCCAAAGGAAGGATGGCTAAGAGAATTCTTTATTCTGCAAGCATAAACAGGATGTATTTTGTTCTTATTGCATTTCGTGTATATTTCACTTCACGGATGTTGGCTTGATACATTGTTATGTTTATCTGATCTCTGCAAGTATATAGCTACGTGAGAAATAAACGGCAGTATGCAGTTGCAAGTGCTGCCTTTGCTCTGCATCCCCTGTGTCCTGGTGATTTCGTAGACCCTTACCCAGGGACCCCAACGCACTAGACGTTGACAATTGGTGCCCGAACAGGGACCCTGAAGGACGTACAGGAAGGGTGAGTAACTTAATTAAGTACAGGGTGATGGGACAAGAAACTTCTACTCCTTATGTTCGAATGCTGGAGCATTCACTTGCTGTCTATGGTATTACTGTTGCTTCTAATGATATTGAGCTGTGTTTGAAGGTGGTTCGAGAATGGAATCCTTGGTTTCCAGAGGAGGGAACCTTAGATTTAGATAATTGGCGGCGAGTTCGACATAATGTCGAGAAGGCAATGAGACAGGGTGAAAAAATTCCCGTTCGGTTTTGGTCCATTTGGTCGATTATTTTTACAGTGCTTAAAGCAATGGAGGATGACCGCACGGTCGAAGACTTCCATAAGGAGATGGCTCCTTCTATACAAGACCTCCCTCTAGATACGGATGAGAAAAGGGCGGTAGAGAAAGATACCTTTAAGCTTACACCATCCCGTGAGCCTAGCGAGTGTGGTAATGAAGAACCAAAACCGAAAGTAAAATCGGATCCCGAGGTGGAACGTGTGTGGAAGGTTTTTCAGCAGGTTATGGCTATGACGGAGGAGTCTAAGAAACCCTCTAGGAAGCCCTCTGCTCCGCCTTTGCCGTCTGTACCAGCTCTTTCTTCTAAAAATCCTTTCCTTTCTGCTGCTTTAGCTGAGCTTGATGCGCTAGAGGATAGCGATGATGAGGCTGGCGCAGCTAATTCTGTCTTTGCTTTTCCTGTTATTAGGCCTCCCCCGGTCCAGGGAATGGCACAAGCACCATATTATGAAGGAATAGGTATAGAAGATATTGGTCGCTTGAAAAAGGCAGTGTCTTTATATGGACCTCAATCACATTATGTTAAGGAGCTAGTTAATGGTCTAGCTCGACATTATAGCAATTTTTCTCCTGAGGACTGGAGGGTCCTCTGTCGAGCTCTTTTAAAGGAGCCTGAATATCTGCAGTGGCAGATGTGGTTTTCTGAACTTTGTATGTATGTACATGTGGTAATAGATACATATTCTCAATTTATTTGGGCCACAGCACAAAGTGGTGAAACTACGCAACATGTTATTTCCCATCTTTTAGAAACCTTTGCTGTGATGGGTTTACCATCTATTATTAAAACAGATAATGGACCTGCATATAGCAGTAAAAAATTTCAAACTTTCTGTGAACAATATGGTATAATGCACAAAACAGGCATTGAGTATAATCCCCAAGGACAGGCCATTGTAGAACGTGCGCATAGTACTTTAAAGTTGCAAATTAAAAAATTAAAAAGGAGGAAAAAGGATCATATCTTAGCATTCACTCAATCAAATGCACGTTCTATTTTGCAACAAGCTCTGTTCACATTAAATTTCTTGAATCTTCCGCAGGGAGATATCCTGTCCCGAGCAGAAAAACAGTTCATAGAGGGAGAGGTCGCTCCCCCTCCATTAAATGAACATATATGGTTTAAACCAACCGCAGATGCAGAATGGCAACCGGGGCTATTGCTTTGCAGAGGGAAGGGTTATGCTTATGTCTCCACAGAGGATGGACGGACCTGTTCCTGGCTCCCCGCGCGATGGATCCGGTCAAGGACCAATTCGAACGGCACCGTATCCCACCAGGCGACGGATGGGGAATCCAGACCAAGATGAACTTCCGTTACAGGCCATGGCACATCTGAATTTGGGAGGACGACGTCGCCGTCGGCAGATATTTGCTACTGCTTTGCCGACTTGGGGGCAAATTAAAAAGCTTAGTGGGGAAGGGCAAAAAATCCTGCAGTGAACGGGGAAGGCTTGTACGCCTGAAAATTTATTTTTGGCTATGTGTGCCTTGCTTACTGTATCAGATGCCGCTACGTTGGCCAATTTACTTCTTAAGCAACTTGAGGGACTAGATCCAAAAGGTATTATTCAGAGTTTGGGGCATACTGCCGGAGGAATGGGATTTGTATTGTTGGTTGTTATCTTATGCTTTATGCTGTTGCATTTTTGCTATCTAAAACCTTCCCAGAATTCTATGGCCATCCTTTGGAGGGCACTTTTATTAAAACAAAAGAAAAAAGAGGGAATTGAGATGGTGTAGGCTTGTAGGCCCCTTGCAGGCCAGGGTCATTTGAGGACTGCAGTGAGGTTAAGGTCGGCCAGGCAGGCCTAGGCCAGGAGGAGAAAATGTTCTCTTCCCCTTACCTCATGTTGCAAGGCCTAAATGCCTGGATCAGCAGGAAGTGGCTCTTGCCTCGCTTAAAGTGTGTCTTTCTAATCAGAAGTGTTCTTTCTAAAGACAAAGAACATGTTGTCTCCAAAGGAAGGATGGCTAAGAGAATTCTTTATTCTGCAAGCATAAACAGGATGTATTTTGTTCTTATTGCATTTCGTGTATATTTCACTTCACGGATGTTGGCTTGATACATTGTTATGTTTATCTGATCTCTGCAAGTATATAGCTACGTGAGAAATAAACGGCAGTATGCAGTTGCAAGTGCTGCCTTTGCTCTGCATCCCCTGTGTCCTGGTGATTTCGTAGACCCTTACCCAGGGACCCCAACGCACTAGACGTTGACAGTAGGATGTCATCCTTCAACCTGCTTTGGGGAGGAAAGGTGTTCTGATTAGGTGGCCCGCCAACCCGTAATCCTCGCTCTGAGGAGACAAGGGGAACGCACACAATGAGCTAAGATAGTGGTGGTAGGATGTCATCCTTCAACCTGCTTTGGGGAGGAAAGGTGTTCTGATTAGGTGGCCTACCAATCCATAATCCTCACTCTGAGGAGGCAAGGGGAACGCACACAATGAGCTAAGGTAGTGGTGGTAGGATGTTATCCTTCAACCTGCTTTGGGGAGGAAAGGTGTTCCAATTAGGTGGCCTGCCAACCCGTAATCCTCGCTCTGAGGAGACAAGGGGAATGCACACCTTCCTCTGCGGTGCTTATAGAGGCTCAGCTGTAGGTACTGGGGGCTTCCTCTTTTAGCTGTTCCCAAAGGTCAAGTGAACTGAATGCAGGGTGGAGTCTAGTCCCATCTGGATAAAATGAAGACCACAACTTCAGATGGGAGGACAGAAACAGAGGAGGGACTGTCCTGTGGCTTGGCCCTGCATTCTCTAGGGAATGAAAGAACAGTAAAATCCCCTTGGTCAGTCTCTGTTATAACATCCCTCTCTTTAAGATTAACTTAATCTGGATGTGTGCTGGACTAAACTGGGGTGGCCTCCCTGATTTGGCAGCTTTTAAAACTGGCCATCATAACACTGATAAAATGTTGTTCATCCATTATTATGGGCCACAAGAGAACTATGTTTCAATCATTTTACCTAGATATAACTTACATGTATCCTACTGGAATAAGGTATTTGGTGGAGCATCAGAATGGTCCCAGTCCTAACTCAGAAAAGCCTCACCGTAAGGCATATTCAGAAAATGTATAGATAAACCCTAAATATTAATTAAGATTTCATTTATTTGTGGTGTCTATACTATTAGGAATTCTGCTTTCTGGATAATGGAGCTAATAAAAATACTCCATTCCTCTTGGCAAAATGCAGAGAACAAATAGTTTTACACAAACCTCAGAAAGCCTTACTGCACAAAGGAACAGTGACCAGAAGGCCACTTGCTTCTGGCAATTTCCTCAAATTTGTAAAGCAAGTAACAGTTGACTAAACGACCATAGGATTTGGTCTTGTTTCAATTCCTTCTCTGGAACTGGCCTTTTGCCTAAGGTTCTCTTTGGACGTGTACTATTTTGTGTGTCTATTTTCTTCTTGGGGGTGAAGAACACCCATTTGCTCTTCAGATAAAAAGTGCTCTTGTGAGAATGAAACTAATAAAGCTTTAGTGACCTTCAGAGGCTTCCTGGCTCCCACCACATCAATTTCAAACTCCTTTGTCAAGCTTCCAGGACCCTCCTGCTATTGTCAAACACACATCTTTTTCCCATGAGTGCGCTCTATTCCTTTTGTTCATCTAATCTAAAATTGCCTTCCCACTCCTTGTGTTCTGGCTGACATTTAAGGCTTCATTTAAGTTCTATCTCCTCTGTGAAGACTTCATTGTTTCTTTCAGCTTTTCTTAGTATATTTAATCAGTACCCACACCATGAATATACTAGCCTGTACTTTTCATCATTGCTTCAGGTGTGCAAATCATATATGGCCAAGCACCACTTGACACTTTACTTTTCACCCCCGAAATCTAGATGTTGATGAGGATACTTGGCTCTTACTACAGGGGAGATGTTTCTGACAATTTAAACTGCACCAAATGGAATGAGGTTTCTCAAGACATACTGAATTCCTTGTCACTGGAGGGTATCAACTAGAGACTACTTGCAAGGGTTTTCCCTTGGGTGTAGATCGTTGTCGGTATTTTATACATTTTTGATGTATAAATGGGCTTTGGAATAGATCAAATATCCAGGTGGGAGGGTCTGACAAAATTCTTTAACACTGAACTTCTGTTACCCTATAAAATGGTTGCTCACTAAAAAAGAAGCCTTTGTTGCATTCATGGAAATCTTTTCTTATTTGAAAATAATTCCCCATTCATTACTGCATTGGATTTTAGCAAACTTATGAGAGGCATGAACCTCCCCTATTATCTAAGTATGACACATGATCCAAATGATGGAATATAACAAGGGTGTGTAGGAAGTGAATGAGAGAAGGGGGACACAAAAAGAATCAGAACACATTGCTCTCCATGCTCTGGTTTCAGGGCAGTTAGTGGTGGAGGGCTTGGGAGAGAGGTCAGGGATAGTAATGGGCAAAGTAATCCATGGTTGAACTTACTGCTCTGGTATAGCTCTGACCTCCCCATTAGTGCTTGGGTCTGTTGAACTACCTATTAAATGAGGACTCTATGCAAAAGCTGCTGATTTTACTCTTGAACAGAGAAGTTAGAATTGCAATTTGGGTGAACATTTTAACTGAAGTCATAGTTGCTATTTTGTTACCTAGTGGTAGAGTCCAAAAAACTCAGAAAATTTGAAAATATCAAACCATGTGTCTTCAAAGGATATATATGGAATTTATTTCCCACGTTGAAAATAATATTTTAACAGAATAGTATTTAAAAAGTCATTATACAACAAAGAACGCTTATTTTAAGAGTAGAATATGTTAAAAGGCTGAGGTAAACCATAGTATTATTTTGCTAATACTGTCTTATAAATCATGACAGTATAATATCAATTCAGTAACAAAGTTATCAATCATATATTATGTGCAAATCATGGTGTTGAGCACCTGTCGAAAGCTTTGGTTATGCTTCTTCTTGAAGGAGGCATCATAAAAAGACTTGGGCGGCACTATAAGTGGGAAGCAGGAGAAGGACAAATTGATCAGTGTGTGTGAAATATGAGTGCATTTGTTTCCTATTGATGCGTTACAAATGATCACAAACTTAGCAGGTTGAAACAACAAATATTTGTGATCCCACAGTTTCCATGGGTCAGGGGTCTGGGCACATCTTAGCTGGGTCCTCTTTTTAGGATCTGGCAAGACTGCAATAAAAGGATTAGCTGGGCTGTGTTGAGTCCTAAAGCCCAGGGCCCTCTTTCGAGCTCCCTCAGGTTGTTGACAGAATACAGTTCCTTGTGGTTATAGGATGGATTTAAGTCCTGTTCTATTGCTATCACTTGGGGTCTACTCTCAGCCCCTGAGGCCACTCAGTTCCTTGACGTGTGGTCCGAGCTTCTCCCAACATGGCAGCTTATGTCTTCAGTGCCAGCAGGAGAATCTCGGAATTCCTCTGTCTCTGACTTATAGACCCTCCTTTATTTATTTATTTTTTAATTTATTAGGTCAGGCCTGTCCAGCATAATCTCCCTTTTGATTAACTCAAAATGAACTGATTGGGGACCTTAGTTATATTTACAAAAATCCTTCACCACTGCCACACAACAAAACTTAATCACAGAGGTAAAACCCTAATAAATTCATGGGTCCTGCCCCCACCTAAGGAGAGGGAATTATACAAGGCATGCCACTACGGGTGAGAATTTTGGGACCATCTTAGACTTGTACCTACTACACTGGGCAGTCAGAAGGCAAAAACATCATTCTGTTTGTTAGGTGTTAGGACGGGTCATGGGAGGGTATGTTTTTTTCTAATATCAATCTCCGACTGGTGTCCTATAATTCAGTTCAATTCTGACACTTATTACCTGGAGTTAGTGTTTAGATCTCATGGGTTAAGGGTTCAGTCTTATCAGACTGCCTTTATTCTGGGTGTCAGCTATAAGTCGAGGGGCCGCCTACATTTTGCATGGAAAATTACAAATTTGGGGGTTCCCATGACCATCCCTCAGGTTCAATAATTTGCTAGAATAACTCACAGGACTCAGAAAAGCACTATATGTACAACTACTGGTTTATTATAAAGGCTACAAATGAACTGCCAAGTGAAGAAAGAAATATGGTGGCAAGATCTGGGGGAAGTGCAGGCATAGCACTCCACGTTCTCTTCCTGTGCAGAACCCTCCCAGCACATCACTATGGTCACCAACTCCAAAACTTCTTGAACCTTGTTGTTCCAGACCTTTTATATAGGGTTTGATTATGTAGGTGTAATGGACCGAATGTTTGTGTCCCTTCCAAATTCATACCACTAAAGTGACGGTACTTGGAGATGGGGCCTTTGGGAGTTAATTAGGGTCAGATTAGGTCATGAAGGTGGGGCCCTAATGATGGGATTAGTGGCCTTCTAAGAAGAGGAAGAGAAAGATTTTTCTTTCTCTCTCTTTCTCTGTGTGTATGCACCAAGCAAAGGCCATGTGAGGATATAGAGAGAGGGTGGACATATGCAAGCCAGGAAGAGGGCCTTTAGCAGGGACTGAATCATCTGGCACTGAATCAGCTGGCACCTTCATCTTGGGTTTTTAGCCTCCAGAACTGTGAGATTTTGTTCTTTAGGCCACCCACTCTGTGGTATGGTGTTATGGTAGCCCGAATAGGCTTCAAGACAGTGGGTATGATTGATTAAATTATTGACCCCCTGACTGAACTCAGTCTTCAGTCCCTGTCCCCTCCTGGAGACTTGGTGGAGTAAGGCTGAAAGTTCCAACCATGCAATCAGACAGTGGTTTCCTGTGGTGACCAGCCCTGATGCTGAGACTATCTAGGCCCCTCCTTCATGAGTCATCTCATTAGCATAAACTCAGGTACAGTCAAGGAAGCTCCTTATGATTAACAAAAGACACTCTTCTTCTTTTTTTTTTTTAAAGATTTTTATTTATTTATTCATGAGAGACAGAGAGAGAGAGGCAGAGGGAGAAGCAGGCTCCCAAGAAGCAGAGAGCCCGATGCGGGACTCGATCCCAGGACCCTGGGATCATGACCTGAGCCGAAGGCAGACGCTTAACCATCTGAGCCACCCAGGCGCCCGACACTCTTATTCTTTATATATTGTTTATTGCACCGCAGAGGTAAGTACCAGTTTTGTATAACAGAATCTTGATAGAAAGTGTCAATTAGGCCCAACCAATTCAGGAACTTCCTAGATACTGAAAAACGATGTAAACCGATTCATATGTATAGATCTATTAAAAAAAAAATATATATATATATATTTGACACTAAGCTGCTATAGAATATATATGGTATACATGATATCTCAATATCTGTGGATTTTGTTTTATTTCTCATTTTTTTTCCTACAGGAAATGCTTGACCAATGTTACTAAGGGGATATTCTTTTCTTTTTTTGTTCTATATTTTTTTCCCCTCAGTACGTTCATGGTTATTCCTGATATCCTGCCAATCTACCTTTGACATGGATCCATGGTAATTTGGAAGTCTCATTTGGGCACCAGGACTGATAAAGAATTTCTGGAGAATTGTCTTCCTGGATAGATGTGCATTATGTTAAGCTTTGTGGAGGCTTCATCACGAGCTGGGTGTCTACGGGTGTGGTTTGTTCTGTTCATATTTGTAACTGTGTTCCTTGCTAGTGCTGGAACTCAGGCACATTGCCCTCTGCTGTTGCCTGATACTTAATAAGAGCTGCTTTCCCCCCTGTTATTTTAGTGGGGTTTTGTAATCTATTTTTGCTTTGAGGACAAGAAGAGTAATCTTCTTGCAGAGAAATGCTTCCAAAAGTTTTTGCCATTTTTCTTCAGATGTGTCCAATCTTGCACTCTTAAATGTATCCCTTAGCTATAGCTGTGTGTGTCACCACTTCATTTCCATGTATGCTTATGCTATAGATATAAACCGCTTTAAACGGTTCCTCATCTCTTCCTTGGTGATTTTACACAACTTTGAACTGTCACTGGGTATAGAAAGACAAGTGTCCTCTTTATCCTTGACTGTCACCAGGCAACTAAGCAATGTCTGTCAACGAGTGTCACAGACAGGTCCAGGTAATTGTCAGGAATCAGAAAGGAGAAGAAGAAGGGAGAAGAAAAAAACATGGGAAGAAAAAGATGGAAGAAGGTATAGAGGAAGAGGACAGAAAAATAAGTTATTCCACCTTATAGCAGAGGACCAGAAAAAAAACACACCCCCAAATTGCCCAAATAAACCCAAATCTACTTAAGGTGACAATAATGAAATATATTTAAAACATAGTTTAAAAGTAATTAAGATTTAAAAAAAAAATTATTTTATTTAAATTCAATTAATTAACATATAGTATATTATTAGTTCCAGAGGTAGAGTTCAGTGATTTATCAGTTGTATACAATACCCAGTGCTCACTGCATCACAGCCCTCCGTAATGCCCATCACCCAGTTACCCCATACCCCCACCCACCTCCCATCCAAAAGCAATTTAGATTTTTGAGGTGTTCTCTTGCAGAAGTAGCTTATACCAGGCTCCGAATGTGCTAAATGAAGAACAGGAACCTAGATGCAGGACCAAATGGGTCAGAAAAGCAAGGAGTGAGGAGGTGGAGTGTGGGTGAGCCTGGAAGAAATTCCAAGGTGGCGTGCAAGACAACCATTGTTGTTTATGGGGCAACTTGCTTCAGGTCTCCAAGTTAGTGGGGGTCAGAGCAGGACCTAGGAGAGGGTCTCCTGACCCTACTGTGAAGCGCACTGACCTCTGAGGCCCAGACCATGAAGAAGGGCAGTACATCTGATTATGTGACTTTGACAAAATGTCAGAGAAATGAAAACAAATGGCTGAGCAGTCCCTGGAGGGATAAAGAGTTCAGTTATTAAGCTCTTCGACCAGAAACACTGTGATTCAGTCATCTAGGATGATTTTATTCCATCTTCTATTATGGGCTGCACCACATAAATCTGTGTTTTATTGCTGGAGTGAGATGCTGGAGAATTTCAAGATTACTTTTGGCACTGTCTGAGTTGGCTCACTGCTGTGCTGACAAGTGCTTGTGGAAAATTAGCAGCAATGATATTAATCACCTTTTCCAGGGTTTTCCTTCCCACCCTTTGTTTTGTCCTTATTCTTTTGAAAACAAAAACAACTCCCCTCCAAGTCTTCTAAAATACAAGTGTCTCCAGTGGAGTTAGAGAGTAGGGTGGTCAAGAAGAAGGGGTGGTGCTCTTAACCTGGGGCCCTTGTGGGTGGCATCATGAGGAGTCAGATGTGATGCTGTTGCATGTCATGTATCTCATGCCTGGAATTCTCTGGGTGGTGGCTGCTGGAAAAGGGAAGGGAAACAAGGAAAAGTGGTTTGAAGTACCTGAAAGTATGTCTGATTTCTTTTTTGATCGACACATTCAACTGGTGCAATACAGGAACAGCAGGGCAGGTGAGAAGTAGGAGATGGATGGGTGGATAGGTGAGGGATCTGAACATACACAGATACATACACCCATACACATACATGCACTCATGGGGCTATGACAAAGGCAGTTTATTTGGGGGTCACGGGCCTTAACAATAGATGCCTTCATTCTCTGACCCACAATGTCAAACGCTTCTATCACAAGTGGATATCATTTCTTCCCTCTCTACTGCTCATTCCTGGTCTTCTTTGCATAGTCCCAGTTTTACTCCTGTTTTCTAAATTATCTCCCCAAGGTTTGCCCATTCTGTCTCTGCGTTTGGACAAATGCATCTATTCACTTGATTTCCAATGTCATCTCTCTGTTGATAACTTCCAAATTTATATCTCAAGGTTGGCTCTTTCTCAAGCAGGAATAGGGTTGCCTGCAATTCAGCCTCTGTTGAGATAAAGGGAGTTAAGAGAAAGCATAGCTTGTCCTTGCAATTGCACACCTGGGTCGATGGGGGCAGGGTGCTCTTATGTGTAAGGCTAGGAAGGACTCGGAGTGAGGGCCATCTTGGAATTCTGTGCTTGGGAAACCAGTTCAATGTAGTGATTAATGAGAGGCTGGGAGCCAGAATGCTGGGATTCAAATACTGACTCCACCACGTACTCGCTGTGTCCTCCTACGTTTCTGTTTCCTTGTGTGTGAAAGAGGATAATAATCGGATCTCTCCCCTAGGGTCATCATGAGGATTAAGTGAGATAATGCATATAAAATGTTGAGCCCTGCACATAGTAAGGACTCAGTAAATCTTAACTTATCCAAGCCATTTGTCTTGTTTCTCTCCCCAAAGAGAGAAGGATGTCTTTTCCAAGAAGCCTATGACAGAAAAGCAAAAGGCATTAATGTGGAAAGCTCTCACTTTTGTGAAGTAAAATCCTGCACCAAGGTCTGGGGTTTTGTGACGGGGCTTTATTTATTAATCATTATGAATAGGTTGATGAGAAGTAGGTGGGTTAAAGATGAGTGAAAAGTTTTATGACTGAGTTTATCCTGTTTTCTGGGCCCAGCTCTCAGCAAGCTGATTAAATGAGGCTGGGGCTGCACAGGGCTGCCCTACTTAAGGCTTTGTCAGCACTTCCTTTGTAGATTCTAAGTTCCAGAGCTTGGAAATGGCTGTGTTGAAAATATTCTCTGAGGGCTTGAGCTTGGTGGAAGATCTTTATCAGGCACCAGATAATCTTGTCACATTTTGAAAGACGAATAGAGAAAGAAAGAAAAAAATGTTGGAAGGGGACAATGAAGAGCAAAAGAGAGAGAAGAGGAGAGCAGAGATGTGGAAAGGTGAGGGAGAAGGAGAGAGAAGAATTCTTTTTGGAGTTTCTCAGACATGCACTTTAAAATAGCTCCTCTATGTCAGGCATTTCTCCAACATCCTTGTCCAGACCCTGTGCTATTATAATAATTGGAGAGAGCTATACCAAAGAGCTTCCTGCTGTCCCTGAGATGTGTTCCCACAAGCTGAGTGCACTGTTGGTGGCCTGTCTTTGTTCTGCCAACATGGAGTTTACCATTCTCCTTTTCCATGAAACAGTGACACCAACTTGATTTTTGGCATCTTGCAAAGTTTGGGCCAGTGTTGTTGGTTCCCTGGAAAGATCTTTGATTCTCATCTTGGAGGGTGCCAAGTGTGCTCAGAACTAAAGACAAGACATGGGCAAGGAGCTACAAAGGAAAATGAGGCCACAGTTAGGTCTGTCTGAATACTCACCAGAGAAATTTGGGAATGTTGGGTGCTCTTGACACAAGGAGTCCCAATCCTTATGGCAGAGTCTGTGGTGATGACCAGAGAGAGTGTAGGGTTGGGTTCACCATGGTGGGGCAGACATGCATGAAAGAGATGGGACCGATAGTGCCTCATTCCCCATGGGGAAGAAGGGGGTTCTTACCATGTGTTAAAGGAGAGTCACTGGGGTACCCTCTCCTGTTCTGCTCTGAGGACTCTGGATATGGAAACTGGTAATAAGAGCCACATTCTGGAGTTCCCTGTTTCCTTCAACATTCGGTCTAGTTCTCTCTGCCCTGGAGGGGTAACTGATGAGAGACAGAAGAATGTTCACCTTTAGCCCAGAAAACTGACTGTATAGTTTCAATAAGGCTCAACTATGTGCTGGTTGCTACAGTTTTAAAGGGTCTCATGACTGTCTGCACATCTCACTGATAGTTAATAATGAACTGAATGAAAAGCACCAGAGAAGTCTTGCGAAAGTAGTTTTATGAGTAGAAATTCGAAGAAAATATTTATGATCTAATACTCCCTGCACATCCCCTCTCCCTTGAACACTAAGCATATAACCACCAGCTTCACACAGCAAAAGTGTAGCTCTTTCTGCCCACGGGTCCTGTCCCTGTGCTATAATAAAAGCATCTTTTTGCACTGAGAACATTTCAAGAATTCTTTCTTGACCATTCGCTTGTGGCCCCACATCAGTAACCATGAAGAAGCTTGGAAGATGGACAGCCATGCAACAACTTTTCTTTTCCTTTCCAAACCCCACCAAGACAATTGTAGAGGAGTAAGATAGATACAAACCCACAAGTACAGAGAGGAGAGCCAAGGAGACAACTGAAGATGGAAACTTTCCACAGGTTTAGGAAGCTGGAGAGTGGACTGGTAGCTGATTTAATAGTTTGGAGGCAGTGGCAACTTAGTGTCCTCGGAAGGGGGAGGAAATACTCTGTTGTGTAGAACTTCAGCAAGTCCTGGAACTTGGTGGGAGGGATGAAGTATAAAGCTGAAACCAGGGGCATTGGCTGAAAGCCTGAGTACAGAGTTGCTGCAGGTACCCTGCTCCCCTCACACAGCCAGGCCAGCACTCCTCTGAGTACGGGCTACAGAGAGGCAGGGTGTTAGTGATGAAACTCAAGCTGAAAATGGGAGAAATTTAATAAAGGTGCATACCTTGAATAGTTAAACACCCTCACCCCCACTGTTTTCTACAGAGCTTCCAGAAATCCTACATATAGGTATAGTGATAGGCAGTGGATTAGGTGAGTCTTCTCTGGAAGAATTTAGGGTCCCACCAAATAAAAAGAACCAGTTTACAGATATTTACCCCGTGGTGAGAGTCACAAGTTGACAAGCCTCATTCAGTATTTCCAATCAGCATTTAGTAATTTATTTCTAAATATGAATGGCCAAGCAAGGAACACAAGCTATTTGAGGAACTCTTCCAATCTCTAAGAAAGAAACCCAAACAAAGAACATGGAGTCTCCCCTCCTCCCAATAAAAAGAAACATTGCAGGGAGCAAAATAAAATCTAAAACATTTAATTATATCCTAAGAGAGAGGGGGTAAATATTATTGGCTGGTGCTCAGGCTTTAAAGCACGTGTTAAAGGCTTCCCCTGCAGTGTCAGCTGGCCAGAACCTCGGAGGGTGAGGAGGGATGAGCACCTGCATCTAATCCCTGACCTTTGGCTCCAGGGCTT